GTGGTGGAAAGTGCCTCTCTACAATCCATTAACCTTCTCAAAAGTATATAATGTGATGCAAACCGTGTTTTTGCCACCTTCAATAACTCCAACTTTGAGTTTCCTCTAAAGAATGACAAGGCATGGGTATGGTTGAGAAAATATTTTACAATTGTCTTGCCTTGCTTATATGTGTTGAGCAACCATGAGAACTTCTTTGCCATGTCTTTAAAAATCAGATTTAAGGTGTGCACACAACAAGGAGACCAAAAGATATGCTTATATACCTTCTCGATTTCCCTCCCGGCTGCTTTACAATTAGCCGCGTTATCAGTTACAACTTGCAAGACATTGCTTGGTCCAATGGTCTCGATGGCTCCAAGAAGAAACTTAGAAATCTCAGCACCTGTTTTTTCCACCCCTAAAAAGTCCTCTGCATACATAAACATTGCACCACGTGAATTGACACCAAGAACATTGATTAGTGGGTTATGTTTAACATTAGACCACCCGTCCGAGACAACCGAGACTCCTTGTGTGTACCATGTGTCTTTAAAAGTTGTTAGCTCCTTCTCAACATCGCGTACACATTCATCAAGCAATACAGTTCTCGCTTTTTCAGAAGACGGGGGTTTGTAATTACATATTTAATTTTAAGTAAACTGAATTTTAGACACCCACTATAAATGAATGTAATTACCAAATTGTGAACTTTAATCATGGTTTTTTTGTGTGAAATAAAATTGTGATTGAGTTTTGAAAATATATATTTTTATTGTTGCATAAAATTTTAAACATGAGTAAGGTGCATAATGAGGTACACTAAACTTAATATCCACTTGGGGGGCCAGTATGTGTAATGAGATCTTCGCGGGCAATTTGTTGGCTTAATTTCTTCATTGACTCTATCCTATAATGATCTTATCCTTTATAGATCTTGAAGATCGCCATCAACTTAGTTTGACATAAATTAAGTAAAGCCAAGCATATTGCGTTCATCTTTGTCCATCGTTTAGGTTGGTTGGTGTGTGTCTGTGAAGATTAGCTTGTGTTTATCTTATGACATTATATTCTTAAACTATTTGAACTAAAATTTAAAATTATAGGCTTTGATTTTATTTTTTTTTTGAAATGTGTCACTCATCCATGTATGTAGTCTTAATTCTACTCATTTATTTCTTAACTGTATTTACTAAAAACAATTTAAATCTAATTGTTCATTGTGCTCTTTGCTGTCTTAGTTTGTTTCTGCTAATGATCTATACACACTTGCAGCTAACAATATACTGTATACCTTGGTGCAAGAAACTAATATGAACAGAGCCTGATCAAAGAGTTTCAAAAAGGGTGCCAAAGAAACAAAACGGAAGCACCACAACAAAGGTGTGAAAGAAACAAAGAGGGGATGCAATATTAGTTCCTTGATACCAATGACTTTTTTGTTTATCAATTTTGATCGAGTATTAGGATCATTTTGATGATCACATGTTTATGTTACTACAAAATTGGTTTGTGAATTTCAGGCAGAGATTTGGATTTCGGGGTGAATTCAAAAGAAACAAGTGAAGAAACCAAATCAATATTCCCCAAGATAGCGATCATCATTTAATGTCTTAAGGTGATTCTACAAGAAAGCTATCACTTCTTTACAGTACACGAATGGTATACCAAAACCATGAATCTTGAGAAGCTATTTGTGTTTCATAAATTCTTTTAAATATTTTCATTTTCTCCAAATCATTCAATTTTAGGTGTGTTGTTTTTTTAGTACAACATTTTTGAATAGATCTGAAGTACATGGCAATATGATATGTTTTTAGAAGAGGGTGTATATAAAGTTCATGCTTTGCAAATAAGAACTATACTCTGTATACTTCAAATGGGGGGAGTGTACTTCGTAGTTTAGGCGGGATGAACCCAGAGAAGTGGTCCGTGTGAGTTGAGAATACAAATACCTCATTTTCAAAACAAAAAAAAAAAAAAAAACTTTTCTTAAAATCCTTCTCCTGAGGTGAAACTCTTGCTTCCAGATCTCAAGAGTTCTTAGAATAAATTCTAATAATTGTGTTTATTCGGTGCAATGTAAACACTGTGTTGGTATCTTCTACGTATACGTCTTTGTCTCAGGCTCAAAGGATGCTTCTTTATTTGATCATGTTTAGAGGGCCTAATGTGTTTAGTTCCTAGGGCCAAATCAGCTTTTTGGCAAAACTATTCTTTGTTTAGGGCTCTGCATTAGGACGTCATGAAGACTCGTTAGGAATGAAGTCTTTCGTCATTGCTATTTAAAGCATTTTATACAGAATTATGAGACTATAATTTTCTAGGAATCAACCTAAATAACATAAGAACCCAATTTCCCCATGAAAATGATTTCTACACTGCTCTTTGCTTTAATATTTGTGTGCTTTGCAATTTTTTTCACAATCATCAAAATCAGAGGTGTAGTTCAGTAGTTGTATGACACAATTGTAGTCTAGAAAAAACTATAATAACATGCTTATCTATAAACTCCAAGGGAATCTAAATTGAATATGTTTTTAACTCCTTTAATTACCCTTTTCTATTTTCCTTTATTTTCATTTTTTTTTTGGCCTTTTTGGGTTTAGCAGTTGCTTATTTATTCACCCTTCATGTTTTGAGTTTTGACATCAATTTGGTCTTAGATACTTTTCTAGGTTCTCCCCTTTTGATTTTTATTTGTGATTATTTATGACATTATGCTTTAAACTTTTACTAATTACTCATGCTCTAGTCGATTACGCAATTTCAAAAAATGGTCATATTGATGAGTATATACTACATATTCATACGGGTTGTTCTCACCAAGTGTTTGAGTTGGTTATGTATCTGTTTTACAACATGATGACCATTTAAATCAAATTTTGTCATCTTAAAAAATAAAGGTACAAATGAAGTTAGTTGTATAAGAAATGGACATAAGTTTCAAAATACGAGTTTCATTCTAGCTTTTGTGTTTTTACCAAATACATTTGTACTTAACTATGTTTTGAAATACTAAGTAATTATATCCGAAAATTTTGATGGGCACACAATATCGATAATTGAGGAGCATATCTGGCATCTTTAGATATGTCATTCCAATTATGGATCAATAGTTTAATTGTGATTGGATTGGATTCATGAAAACGCAGATTTGAGAATATCCTTATGATACAGACTTTGAAGCCCAACTTCATTCTCCCTGGCAATAAATGCTAATATACGTGGGTTATTCAAGGGGATCAGATCTCATTTTTACGCACAACATAAAATCTTCAATAGGACTTGCTACAAAAAAGGTGATTTGATTTCTTAGTACTCCAATTCATTTAATTAATTATTTATAAGTGGAATAAGTGATTATTGGCCATTTTCTTCGCATAATTATGCTGCTAAAATGCTATTTTCTCCGTTTGGATATTAGAATATGTGGTCTTTTTCCTCATTCAATGGTGTATTTTGATGTTGATACAACAGTTGTGAAGAGAATTGACGATTTATTTAAATGTATCAAATTTTACGAAGTAAAATAGCTACATATGGACTAATTACGAAGCTTACCAATATTTATAAAAAAAAATTTCAGATATACATTTTTAGTACTTCAAATATGCTGCATATATATATATATATGTTTGAAGAAACACCTTCTATGGCAACGAGATCGAGCACACGACCCCAACCAATGTGAAGCACGAGGTTAAATACTAGTTTTCGTTCTATTTTTTGTTCTATATGCTTTGGGGTGGTGTTTTAAAACAGGCTAAGTAACTGCAAATCTGGGTGTGTTGAGATTGCTGTTTTGAGCCATTCGTCTTAAGATGCCAAAGATGCTGCATCTTCTATTACAGCAATTGCAAAAAAAAAAAAAAAAAAAAAAAGTTAT